TTTGTGTCCATAATGCTAGAAATCGGTCCGAGACCTCGGATGAAGAAAGAATTGACCAATCGCAATGGCCATGTGATCAAATTGTTCAAATGTGATTTGTTAATTCTTTCTCTGTCCGAGTTTTCGGACCGATTTCTAGCATCGTGGACATCAGGCTTAATAAACGATGAGCATAAAGGCCATCACACGTACAAAAATTTTAGACGTAATCGTAAGGTCGCAAGCAAATCGACCAATCACAATCAAAATTAAGATCTCGCGTTTTTAATGCTCAACTGTGATTGGCTGATTTGCTTATGGCCTTACGATTACGACTAAAATTTTTGTACGTGTGATGGTCTTAAGATGCGTTCGGGAAGACGCTATTAGCGCTACTTGTCATTCTATCCTTGTTTTACGTTTAATAAACAACGAAGATAGAACGAACGATAACGCTAATAGCGCCATCCCGAACGCATTCAGTACTACAACCGCTCACGGAATATACCAATAAGATGCAAGCGCTCAGAGAGCTCTTGTATCTGTTTGGTCTATATTTTTAGTTCTAACGGAATATGCTAATTAGATGCAAGAGCTCACTGAGCGCTCAGTAAGCGATGGTTATTGAATGCATCCAATGGCGAACGTTCAGCGGAACGTTCGTTTTGCAACTGTTGGAAGTTTCTTTCGAGCTGATTGGATCATACTTTTAGATCTAGAAGAATGGTCCTATCTCAGCAGACAATCATAAAACGGTTGCAAAACTGTTGAGTCTGCTGAACGCAGCTAATAGCTGCATTCAGCGGACTCAACAGTTGAGCGAGCGTTCGCTGCTATTGACGTATTCTTCTAGATCTAAAATTCTGATTGGATGATCTAAAAGAATACACCAATAACAGCGAGCGCTCACTCAACTGTTGAGTCCGCTGAATGCGCCCAATGTTTACACAGGAAAGTGACTGATGAGTGTATACGGTATTTTAAGACATCAAAGGAGTTGGCGTAAGCGCACCGCTTAAAATATATATCGATATATCTTTTGACTTGTTATATCGCCAATTTGTACTACGACGTTTCTCGTAAATCGAGATCGTAATGCCACTTTATAACGCGAATGATATTTGATATAATTGTAAGTCTTGGAATTTCTTTTAACCTATAATCTATCCTTATTTTGCATTCTGTTGAACACAAACAGTATTTAATATCAATGTTATTACAATAACGTGTGTTACATTACATTACATTTATATTGTTAAATAGCAAATTATAATATTGATGTAACATGTTAGTTTGTATTTATTAGGTTACATTAGGTTACATTTCTTTATTCCTGCATTAGACTGCATTTTCTGGATTTTCTTTCTCTCTTTTGCTAAATATCAAATATATATCTATTCCATTTTAAATTCCAAAAGTTTATTAGTTCTGTTACACAAAACCGACTTTTGTAACGCTTTGAATTTCCCTTAGATTTGTAATCAATGCACTACATGTATGTATTTTTTTTAGCTACTTTGCGGCTGCCAAAATGCCATTCAAGTTCCACTTGAAAAAGAGCAGACAGTATAATGTCGTGTCCAAAAATCAGTACGTAATTTGTGTCGAATTGTTAGATGCTACTACTATAGAATGCACTCTCAGTATCGACAGCGTTGGCCAGGAGTGTCTGGACAACGTGATGCAACGTTTGGGATTGGGACAGCCAGAGTTTTTTAGCCTACGCTATGTTTGCCGCAGTACATCATCGCTTCGATGGATAGACATGGACAAACCTTTAAAGAGGCAGCTTGAAAAAGATGCTAAAAGCTTTACACTTTACTTAAGAGTTATGTACTATATAGTGGACGTACAACTCATTCAAGATGAGATGACAAGGTTGACTTATGTCTGGTTTATTTTTCGGTCTTGATTCTAAAATCCTAAAATTCAGCTAATGGAATGCAGATTTCAGTTAGAACCAATTAAGGGGATCCTAAGGTAAAGCTCGAACTCCGACGAAGTCACTAGATATCGCTGTTTTTCCAGCGCATCGACATGTCTTTATATATTATCACACCAATATCTCACGCAACCTATGATACATTCAGTCGCACATTCGTGTCAATTTTCGTATAACAAATTCGTCGCGATAAAGCATCTAAGTCTAATTCTAAGAACTCGACATTATTTGTTCGTGCAAATTATGTGTTTGTGGATTACTATTTCGTAAGTATAGGTTACAAAACTTTTGTATCAAGCAAATGTTGTCACGACTTGACAGCTTGAGACGCCATGTTACACTAAATAATGGTAAAAAATGTATCAATTTCGAAATTTTTGGTCGTTCTCGGCATAAACACCTCACAAACACGTATTAATGCGTATACTTTAATCCTGGAAAAGGATTTTCGAATCTGTGAAAGAGAAAAAAAGTATTTGTTACACAAAAAATTATATGATTTAATCAGTAATACAAACGGCTTTAAGATCCCCTTAAGATTGTCTGCCCTATTGGCTGAATTTTAGGATTTTAGAGTTAAGACCGAAGCATAAACCAAGCATTAATTGTTTAAGTGATATAAGGTCTGTTCTTTTTAGTTCAACTTGCACAGTTTATCTTTTCTCATTTCTTCTTCAAATTAGAGAAGAAAAAAGAAAAGATAAGTCATATAAAAAATTAAAAATAACAGACCTATAAGTTTCTTAGAAAATATAATTTTACGTGTTTGTTCTTTTTCCTTCCACAGATATCATTATTATCTTCAACTGAAGAATGATGTGCTAGAAAACAAAGTACATTGTAATTACAGACAGGCTTGTGTGTTGGCAAGCTATTCTATGCAAGCTGAGTTTGGAAATTATAGTCCAGAAAGACACACAATCGAGTATCTTCAACAGTGCACTTTTTTCCCAAACGTAACACCAATTTTCATAACTACGTTATTCTAATTGCAAATAAATCTAAATATCATACTTATAAATCTAAATCCGAGTTCTATTTAAATTTCTCTTTAGGATGTAAACAAAACGGACCCAAATGGACAAGAATCTCTTTTGTACACAGCAATATGTCAATATAAAGGTTTTGCTAATATGACACAAGCTACTGCAGAGGAATTATATATCTCGATTGCCATGCAACTAGAGGGATATGGCACTGAAACTTTTCCTGCCAAGGTATAAATAGCTCGTAGAAATTAATTAATTCTTGTTGCTTCAAATGCAGTTATGGAATGTTTCAGGATAACAGTAACAATAAAGTTATACTTGGAATTTCCATCAATGGAATTATGGTGGCCTATCCTAATACTCAAACAACGCAATTTTATAGGTTAATTTACTTTTTATTTTATATGTGACTTTAGGTCTGCTCTTTTCAATTGATTTCTTGCATAGTCCATCTTTTCTCTTTTTCTTTCCATGTTGAAGAAAAAAGAGAAGAGATAAACAGTGTAAAAAAATTCAGCTCAAAAGGATAGACTTTTTATACGCACTAAATTATTACATATTAAACAAATAATTTACGATTTACAGATGGAAAGACATCAGTAATGTCATAAATCAAAAGAAGACGTTTAGAATAGAGTGCAAATGTGAAGAAGCGAAGCAATTTGTATTTACCGAGTCGCGCGATGCGAAATACGTATGGAGATTATGTATAGCCCAACATTTATTCTATATACAGTATCAAGAACGTCGTCCACAAGAAAGATCTAGTGGCTGCTGTGTGCGTAAATTAACATTTGTTTAATTATAATGAAACATGCATACAGAATTTTATGTAATTATAGGCATTAATATGTTATTTCAGGATAATGATACAAACGATTCTAGTGAGCAAGCAGTATCCGTGAATTCGGATAACAGGACCTCAGATACACATACACGGTGGACAAGTTACAATGATCTTTCAATACCATCACCATGTCCTGTTGTATCCATTTCGTCAACCGATATAAATAATTTGCGCGCGTTACTACCATCATATAGACCGGCGCCCGATTACGAAACGGCGGTCCAAATGAAATATAATAGTGGAAACGCTTCTCAGCCTTATTATGCAAACCAGTCCGCAATAGTTGGTTCAGATATTTCGTGTCTGCTAGGTGTAAACCGCAATAGATATTAAATTTAATGAGATACCTGATAAAGTTCTACTGAAATATTTGTGATAAAAATTTGAACATACAAAAGAGATTATATATTATATATATTTCATAAATATTGCAAATAAAATATTTATAAACTATATTAAATATATTAAATATATTATTTCGTTTATAATATCATGTTTTATTTTTATAAATATATACTACATTAAAATTATTAACAATATAACAGATGTTTATGCACAAATTTACAAACAGAGCTTTTATCAACGAAATTATATATTATTCTTTCTGAATTAAACAATGTAATATAATAAAACTTAAATAACAATCAAAATTACAATTGTAAGATATATTTACATGTATAACACACATACAAGCACGCATACACATATTTTTGCTTTTGTAGCTTTCTAAAATATATATTGTATGTACATTATTTATAATTATTAACAAACTCAAGAAAACTGAAGAAAGATTCCTCTTATTGTGAAATAATTTGAGAAATATTTATATATTTAAAAAATGTGTTGCAATATCAAAATATTTAAAAAAATGTTGATAAATTTGTAATATACATATATATATACCAGCACATATTTTCCTCGAGCTTATTTAAATAAAATAAAAAAGAATCCCATATTCGATCGAAGCAGATCTTGGTGCTTGATAATACTTATATATAAATTTGCAAATACATTGCCTATAAACTGCACACTGATTCGGTTTACCGCTTTTCATGGTTGATCCTTGTGACAAACAATCCAAAAGACGTCACGTCAAATTATTCTTTTTTAAATTTTCTATAGATTCAGCAACTGTGATCGCTTGCATCAAAGCTGCTGGTTCAGGTTTATTCGCAGTGGCATATACATTGAAACCAGAATTAATTAACGCATCTTTTGTTACTGGTCCTATTGCTACTGCTTTTATGTCTTTGATATTATAGAAATTTTTCTTAAGTTGCGCTGTAATATGCTCAACTGTAGATGGACTGAAAAAAACAAATATACTAGATTTCTCAAGCATTTTTGGCAATTCTTGTTCAAGAGTTTCGCTCTCTAATGTTCTATAAACTATGATCTTTTCTATTGAAATTCCACTATCTCCGACAATACAAGAGATAGTTTCACGTGCAATTTCACTGCATGGATACAATAATGGTTTGGAATTTTTCTTTATATCAAGAACAATTTTTTCAGCCAGTTGCTTTGCATTACCAAACTGACTGCCTACACAATGTTGCAAATTAAGTTGATTTCTTGCAAAAGACTCTGTCACAGATCCCACGCAGTATGTTGGCATCTGTTCCCAATGGTACAGAATACTAGTATCTTCTTTTACTGCCAATGCAATAGCTTCAACTGTACGAGGACTGGTTAATATTAAACCTATAATTAATTAATATGTGATAAATATAATATTAATTATAATAATTATATAATATAATAATAATAATTATATATAATAATTAAGTAATAATATATAAATTATTATGTTGAAAATAATAGGATGTATTACCACTATATCTATCAACTGCTGACAAACATGTTCGCAGATCCGAAATATTTACAAATTCGAATTTCAAAGTTTGTAAACATTCGCAATTATAACCAGCTGATTCCAATAGCTTGCTGTATGTTTCCTGCGTGTTGTTCTTTTCAGATAATCCTTTACACAATACTACTATCTTGCAATTTCCAGCCATTATATGAACAAAAGTGTTCTTAATTTGTAAACTGAAATTTTGGCACAACAGGAAAAAATGTATATTGCAACTATTGATGCTTGCTTTCCAGCAAGAACACAGTCAGACACTGTGTAACACAGTGAGTCATTTCATCCTTGTTTAACGTTGGCAAACAACAAAGATAAAACGACTCACTGTGTTACACAGTGTCTGACTGTGTCCTTGCTGGAAAGCAAGCAATAACAATAGGGACCAGTTTCACCAACGCCAGTTAACTTAATCGGCCGTTAATTGACCAATCGTATTTGCTGTTTAGTAGAATTGGCCAATCATGGTTGACAGTTAATCACCGATTAAGCTTAATCGGCGTTGGTGAAACCCTAGGCTTGTTCTTTTTGGCTGAACTTTTGCACCAGTTCATCTTTCTTCCTCTTCTTCCTCTCCTGGAGAAAAAAGGAAGAAAGATGAACTGGTGCAAAAGTTCAACCAAAAAGAACAGGCCTAAGGCCGGAATCAGACTACGCATTGAAAATTGAGGTTGAAAATTGAAGATTGAAATTTGATCAATAAGGACAAAGAAATTTTCATGGTGGTAGTAACAAGGTGTGCTATTGCGCTGATATTCTTGTACATTTTTTCTAGCCAATGAGAGAGCGATACTGAACTCAGCCATCTTGGGCAATTCAAATGCATATAATAAGGGAAGATTCATGCAAAGAAAGTGGAATGATAACTACAGTGAATAAATGTTACAAAAAAAGATATATTTTTTTAAATTCAACAAGAACAAAGAGAACATAAAATAATTAATCAATAAAAAAACATTTAATGTAATAATAAATAATAAAAAAAAATTTACATTTAAAATGTAATAACTTTACGATTTGTAAATTTCGAAATTTTTTTATTTTCTCAGAAATGTTGCAGACGTATTTCGCAATTTTTATGAAATGTTTCACTTTTCAGTTGAAATATTTCTGAGATATTTCTGAAAACTTTCGGTGCTATATGGGTTATATATAATTATATATAATTGTATATAAAATATGCCAATTTTTTATAGAATTATATATAGTTTTATATAATTTTATATAATTATATATAGTTACAATGAAACATTTTTCCCATGCTGCTATTTTATATTAATTTAATACAATATTTTGGAAACATATTTTCAGTTTATAGGAAATATATTTTCTTAAATCTTAAAAAATGTGAAGTAACAAATTTTATTTTCATCAGCACTCCAAATATTTCTCTTACAATTAAGATATATTTCAAATGTCGCCGCACTTTTCAAGAAGAAAAAAGAAAGTATTAGTAAGTTAAGAAAAATATTGGTAAGTAGAGAAAGTTAACCGACTTACCTAAATTCTTTAACTGAAATGTAATGCGTGACTTTCACCATTGAGTTCTTTAACTTGTTAGTAGGCCGTTAGGCAATCCCTGTCTTAATTAATATTTTGTTAATTATTAAGGCGAGCACTGATTTGATATTTTCGTTCTATATCAAAGGGTCATTGACTATAAAACTAAGTTAGTGACTACAGAGTCGACGACTTATAAATGGAATGTTTGGAGAGCTCCACATTCGAATTTATCTGAATCTGAAAATTCCACACTTAGGGTTTGGCCAATTTTTTCCAAAATTATTTATTATAGAGTTTTTCATTAGCAGAATTCTCTTTGATGCGAACTACATGCAGAAATTTGGCACGAGCATGAACTCAGATAACAGAAAAAAATAAAGTTACCTAAAAGTTATCTAAAGTTACCTAAAAGTTATCTATCATTAAAATGTCGTGAGTTTGTCCTTTGTTAATTTATAGGTACTTCGTTAAAGTTGAAAATATAGTTAGGTACTTTGCGAAAATTGAAAATGTATTTAAGATCAACGATGGGGACAAAGCCGTTTAAATAAGCTCGCAATCCTTCACATTTATTGTGATGTAATTGAAATCCTAGATTTAAACCAACTTGTAAATATATTTATATGCACAAATACAGTTCAATAATCAAAGTTTGCAGTTGTAAATAGCAATAAATAGAAACGCGTATAGAAACATTAATAGCAGTAAGGCCAAAATCAGACTACGCATTGAAGATTGAGATTGAAGATTGAAAGATTGAAACTTGACCAATAAGAACACTGAAAATTTTTTCTTTTTGTTTTTATTAATTAAATTCACAGACTTCTATAGGTCACTTCTTTATATAAGTCTATGATTAAATTTTAATCTTTTAATCTTCAATCTTCTTAAGGCTTCCGAAATCAGACTATGTATTAAAGATTGAGATTGAAGATCAAAAATTGAAATTTCACAATGAGGACAAAGAAATTTTGGCTTCTTTTGTTTTGATTGGTCAAATTTCAATCTTTCAATTTTCAATTTCAATCTTCAATGCGTAGTCTGATGGCTGTGTTCCAAAATTTACTGCCAGTACTGAAAATCTATAGTTTACATCATGTACACTATTTTCAGTATGGCAATAAATTTTGGAACACGTTCAAAGTCGGCCTAATCGAGGAATAATAAGAAATCGCAATTTGTATAAAGAACGGAGAGACCGTGGAAAGGGAAAGTGTGTCTTCGTGTCGATCCTCACGAAGTTATCATTCGAAGATTTGACCGTGCGTGTTAAGTTAGTAGTTATCAGGCTCTCTTCGCATCGATCGCAATTGTAAATTATTATATCCGTCTAGCATTACGTTAACATTTTTACTATAAAGTTTGATACGTATATAACTCTTATGATAGTGATTTATATTTTTTAATTCTTTCAATTGTGGATAATAATCAAAACGTAATAATGAAATAAAACATTTTTTATCGACGATCAAGTGTACAAGACATAATTGCAAAGATGGCTCGGCGACTTCCAAACTACGAGCTTCTATCAGAAGAAAAGACAAAGGAAATGTTGCAGCTTTTTAAGGGCGAAAGAACTGGATTCGTTCTTGTGGGTCCGCAAAAATACTTTTTTCCTCATAGATATATAGAACAGGCTGAAGGCTTCTACAATTTTAAAGCTAAATCGGATGACATATGGTTGCTGTCGCATCCAAGATCGGGTATGTATCAACTGATGATGAAAGCAAAAAAGATTAAGCAACAATAATTCCATTATATGGATATTTTTAGTGTAATATTATAATATATATTCAAACAATAAAAATACGAAAAAACAATGAAGATTTTTAATTAGGCTTTATCATTTAAGATTTTATAGCGTCAATGCCTACTGGGGCACGTCTTTTTCTGGGCGCCATTATACCATACCTATCATAATGCATCTGATAGAAAATCGTTATTAAAAAATTACATAAATTCTGATATATTTTCTATCTTTAATTTCATATAAATAATGATTATGTCCCTTACTTATTCATGCAAAATATCAAGTAAGTTCCGAATGATTTTCTATCGTTAATGTCACATAATAAATAACGAATATGTGAATTATATTCATCGGAACTGATAAAATTCTATCAAGTATCTTACATTGAATCTAATAGAAGATATTCATGTAAAATATCAAATAATAAATTCCGAATGATACTTTATTGTCAATTCCATATAAACGAATATGAGTATAAATACGATAATTAAAGAATTTCTATTGATCTAAAACGATTAAAAAAAAAGATATTTAAAAATCGATTCGAAACGATAGCAGTTGTATCTAACACCCTTAATCGGGTTTAATAACACAATGAAACCTAAGTATACGTATATCTTATCGTATAAAGATTTGATGTCAACAATCGTGGATTCTTTTTTTTATCAGAGAAACGTTTTAAATTTTATTTGAGATCACTTTAATAACCAAAAAGATAAATTACCCTTTTTTTAAATGTAAAAAAGAAATTTGATTACTTGTTATTTCTATTAAATTAGGGACAACTATGATGCAAGAACTCATATGGCTATTGGCTAACGATTTGAACTTCGACGTAGCGAAAAAACGTCTACTTACTGAAAGGTTTCCATTTCTCGAGTGAGTATGTGTGTTTATATATGTGTATATGGTGACACATTATAAAAGAACTTCAAGTGCAATTATAATGAGTGATTTTGACACCCACTATTAAAGATGTATATTTTCACACGTAATAGTAAAGTTACATCTTACGGATAAAATTATTCTTCTTTACAGAAATTAAACAATTTGCAAAAGTAAACTTACAATTGAAGTTAAGGTTATAAAAATATTTATCTATATATAATAATTTGCCATCAATCTACATAGAACACTTCATCAAAGGAACATCCTTAAGACATAGGAACATTCTCTGAATATCCTTAAGATGCCTTGGAGGCCTGTTCTGTATAAGAAATTACTTATAACTTTTTTAAGCTATATTATTGATATATACTGACATAACAAATATAATATGTGTGATATTATCATTATATTACACAATAATACAAAAAAATGTGTATATTTACATAAAAACTATGAAATATATGTTATATCTTTACGTCAATTTGTGTACAACTGCTTTAAAGTGCACCGAGTGTGCACTAATTCTGCCAATTAGAAACGCAATTAGAATTATGTTTTCAAAGACAGACTATGTTTGACGAGCGTTTGAAATACTGGAAAATTTATTTAAATATTTATACAGAAATATTATTAAGCACTCTAATTGTAAGTCCTAATCGTCTGTGACGCTTCTTTACTTAATTTGAAATATTAAATATAAATTTTAAATATAATTATATATAATATTAAATAATATTAATAATATTAAATAATATAATGTGTAAGAAATGAATCAAAGATGTCACTATTATCGAATTTGGAATTAAAAAAGTCTGCACTATCGACCTCGATCAAGTTCGGTAATCAGTTTAGGATCCCATTGTATCTTTATTCTTACAAAAAACAATGAATTTTATTCTTACAGATTCAGTTTATTTCAACATCCTGAAGTGACTCAAGAATTTTTGTTAATCAACAAAAATGACAAAGTAAAGCAACAACTATGTCGGCAAATTGCTAAACCCGGTTATGAAGTTATCGCCGAAATGCCATCACCTAGATTTATAAAAAGCCATTTCCCTTTCAGCATGTTACCTGGACTTTTAGATGTTGGTTGTAAGGTAATAATTGAAAAAAATAGAAAGATTCATTACTAAATGTCATCTTCTACTTTTGTAACACTTTCCTTAAAGGTTGTCTACATTGCTCGCAATCCGAAAGACATGGTAACGTCTTGGTATCATCTGAATAGCTCAATCAAGACACAAGGATATATTGGTCACTTTTCCACCTTTTTGGAATATTTCGTAAACAACTTAAGTAAGTAGAACATATTCAGAGGAATAGCTATATTTCTTCCTTCTCTACTTTATCATAGATATTTATATTACTTATCATTTTCATGAATACCTAATGTTTTAAACCACTCTGTATATTGACTTATATATTTGTTTTCTTTTTGGAGGGAGTAAAGAGTGTTTTAAAAAGATAATTTTTAATGCTTTCACCTTTTTTTCTATAAAGCGCCTTGGTCGCCATTCTGGAGTCACCTAAAAGAAGCCTGGTATTTAAGGCATTCGAAAAATCTTCTATTTTTATTTTATGAAGAGGTAACATGCGTAAGTGTAGACAAAAATTTTTGTTCTCAATTAAGTAAAAATCATCGATACCGACATATTACTTTGCTTTTGGACAATATTTCTCAAACAAAAGTTAAGTCATCAAATTGTTTACTATATAAAAGTAACGTTTGTCAACCCTGATCCTACTGTACACTATGCATTATACACACAACTGGCCCAGTTTACGTAGTGCACTTGATACGGATACTAACTATAGTAATTTTCTATTGAATTATCCTTTCAGCGATAAGTGTAAACATTTACATGATATGTGTATTTAATTAATCGTTTTGATGCATATTATACCGATTTAGTACATTATTCCTTAAATACATTGTTAAAATTAAAATAATTTAATAGAAAGATACTAGTTAATACGCATATCAAGTGCTCGATGTAAACTAAGTTAATAATGTATACACAAATTTATTGTAACAATGCCAATGTTACCGTTTTTATGCTGTATATTGTGCATTGTCGAAACTTCGCTTTGCGTAAAAACTTGGACATTAATTTGAAAACTCATATGGAATCATAGAATAATGAGATATGTGCGTGCAATACGATTATGTGTGCAATGCAAACGGAATCCTCTCAAAGTAAACTATTCTATTTCTTCGATCTTCTTCATTTCATTTTTTAATTTTAATTATTTAGTACATTTAATGACAAAAATCATCTGATACGTTTTATCATTTTTCAGATAATAAAACATTTTTTAAATCATATATCAATACATTCTAATTATTTTTAAATATTTATATAATATATATTTTAATTGTATATAACTCAACTAACAATTAATTAAATAATTAATAATTAATTTACAAAGAGATATATTAACATCTTTATTGCCTGAGCTTGTTTTTTTGTATGATATATATATTAAAGAAAATTATTTTTTATGTTTTCTAGGATTTTCCAAAAGCAGTCAAGAAAGTAGCAAAATTTTTGGGTAAAACGTATACTGACGAAGAAATTAACAAAGTGATAAATCATCTTAATATCCAGAATTTTCAGAACAATCCGATGGTTAATTACTCTGAATTAAAAGCATGTGGCATAATTAAAGAAAATTCTTTTATTCGAAAAGGAAAAAATGGAGACTGGAAAAACATTTTCACTCCGGAATTAGAAACAAAGATAGAGAAATGGATCGAAGAAAATCTTAAAGATACTGATCTTCGTTTCCCGTCTTTCAACAATGACATAAACAACGACAATTGAAAATAATAAAAAAATGAAAAATATTTCAATCTCAAGTATATACAGCTTGATTATTTAATAAATATACATATTTTTTAATTTTATGCATTCAAACAGAATAATTATACAGAGGTCACGTAAAAATTAACCATTACTTGGATTGAAATAAGAGGACCTTCAATAAGAATATTTTTGAAAAAGAATTAAAACTGCTACTACTTGAGTTAGAATAATAAAAAGATACGTATCATTTAGGTTCTATTCGAGAAGCACATATATGCTCTTAGCGCCTTTTTTACCTTTTTTTAAAAAGATAATTTTTATAGATACGAATGATAAAATTTTGTAATTATTACTTTGGTTGGAAAGGAAAATGTCTTTGAATGAATTGCAATATTAAAATTTTGTATAAGAAGAATTAAAAATCATTTGGATCGGAATAGGAAGAGTCTTCAATAGGAATACAAAGTATGAATAATACATATATATATCAGAATTAATATTATTTATTTAATTTGGTACGGGATTTAACTTGGCGCCAATTGTTGATATCAAATCTTTTATACGAATGATACATATAATTAGAGTTAATAAGTAAGTAACAATGATAGTACCACACACATAAGTTTTACTTTTTAATTTGATAGAATTTAACTTGGTTAGTTAAGATAAAAAGATACGTGTCGCTTAAGTTCTATTTGAAGAGCATATCATTAGCGCTTTTTTTTATCGTTTTTTAAAAAAGTAAGTTTGTACTGATATCACGCATTTTGTATTAACAAATATTATTGACGTTACATTAAACATGTAAACGTATCATAATATTCGTAAATTCGATTTCTAATATTAAATTCTTATGCATTTAATGTGAATTTAGAATGTAAATTTAGGAAATAAATCTTACGAAAATATCATTATATCTATACACATTTAATGTAATGTAAATCTAGTATTTTTTTTTTATGCAACTAACATGCGTTAACTCTTACTCTTTCTCTTTCAAATTATATAAAATTATTTAATTTGAACGAGATAATGAAGAAGTGGCTTCCTTATGTACATGACGAAAATATTGAGATTTAATACACATCTTTCTTCTGTTCTTCGTCGCACTAGCGATGTAAATAATTGTTGATCCCAAAAGGTTGTCGATGCACAAGTCCACAAAACATCTCATCATCATATCAGTGCGATCAATTTATTACGGATTAAGAAAACACCTAATCAGCCACTTTCTTTTTCCTTTCTTTTCGTTGTAATAAGACAAGCAACATTATGTATAAGTGCTTATATATATAATATGATTAATTATTCAAAATAGTTGGCGGTATAATTACTATTTTTGAGAAATACTTTAAGTTTATTTCAAGAAGTTTTGTAATTTATAAACAGAATATAAAACCCTTAATAAATTTTAAGTACTTCAGAAATGATATTTAAATATATGTTTAATTGATACTTAAACAATATTCAAATTTATTATGTTGACATAATAAATTTAAATATTATTATGTATCAATTAAGTATATATTTCAATATCATTTTTGTAATACATTTTTGTATCACAAATTGTATTCAAATTATATTCAGTAATAATAAAAGAACTACTTTTAATAATAGTTGCAAATACATTACGCTGCAGCATTGCTACGACATTACAGCGCAATCTTGCTAAAGGCGGACATTTTTATATGCTATGATATTGCAACAATGTTGCAAATACATTGTGCAATCTATTTGCAATATTACAACATTGCAATGAGATATATCTGCAATTATTTTGCAATCTTTCTGTGCTGTATGGGCATCGATTAAGCGAAAAAAATATATTTCTAAATTCTACTTTTCGCGGTGATCATTTTTATACGTTTTTACTTGACAAGTACTCATTTTGATCTCTCGAGTTGTCACTCTTCAAAATTACCGCGGTGCAAATGTTTCAATGGCGCATATGATATTCGCGCCAGTCTGCGCAGAACCATACAAAATTCGTCTCGAGAACGAGCACACCTGTTTGGTTTCTTCCACCATGTTATCCCTATGATTTTCAGTTGGCGGTCCTGCGTGCACACAGGAAGTAGAATGCTAGTGAAATGACGACTTTTCCTTTAAAATTGTGGTGTTGAAAGGTATGTATGAGCCGGCTCGTCGTGTTTGTTAAATCCGTTCGCATCTAGCTCATCGTCGAGGTATTTATTTTATTCGAGATAGTTTGTCGAGTAACAGACTTGGTGCCACAATGTAGTCGTGGAAAATATTATGTCCATTCGCGAGAACCGCCACGAAATCGCGAGAAATGTGCGGCATGATGTGCACAGGTCGGACTGTTGCTGACCGTCACGTTTATGGTCGCGCAGAGTCGGAAAGAGACGTGATCTGTCTGTCTGTATTTTCAGGACGCAATGGGTCGGTACTCCCACGAGCCGGTCAACCAGACCAAGTCATGCAAAGCGCGTGGCTCTAATCTTCGTGTGCATTTCAAGGTAAATATCTCCTTTGAGAAAATATAACCTCAAACGCCATGTTTTCTCCCAGGGATGTTTACGAACAGTGAGTACAATCTATCATCTCTTGTATGTTATAGAATACCCATGAGACGGCGCGTGCTATCAAAAGCATGGCTCTGCGGAGGGCGCAGAAGTACCTGAAGAATGTCATCGAGTACAAGGAATGCGTTCCTTTCCGTAGGTTCAATGGTGGCGTTGGCAGGTGCGCTCAAGCCAAACAGTTTGGCACTACGCAAGGTATGTCAGCGTTAGTGAACTATGTAAGGCACACAAAAATTTAAACAGTAAGAGATAAGCAATTAGGAAATCAACATGTTGGATTTGCTACTACTTACTTATGTTATGTTCTTATGATCTCTATTATAAGTGGTCAATTTGTTTATCGCTTATGTTTTATTGCTTAAATTTTTTTGTATGCCATGGCCCTAACATTCTGAAACGCTTACCACTGTAAAAACAGCTGAGTTGACAAAAAACATGTAACAGGGGATTGTGCTCTTTGTTTCTCTAATAGCGAGTTTTATTGGATACACTTAGTGCACACTGATGCATATTAAAGTTGTCATACACAAATTTAGTACATTTACATAATTTTTTAACTTTGATTTAATAATATTGATGTTATAACTCCTACTTAAATTGTGTTTATATGTTTAGGTTTATTTTGTTTCCATCAAGAAAGTATAAAAGAATGTTAATAAGTCAACAAGTAAACTTTTAAGTTACATTTACACGGCTCGATTTATGCCAAAGTTATAACATCGCAGCCATTTATATGTCCTTTTTACATCGATGTAGTAATCCTAATACCATTTCTAAAGTCTTATATCTGTAATGCTCGAAATTCTCTGAGATCTTGGATGAATAAAAATTGATCGATCGCATCAATTAGCCAAATTGTTCAAATGTGATTTGTTAATTCTTTCTCTATCCATGCTTTTGGAATGATTTCTAGCATCGCGAACACAAGACTTAAGTCAGCTTATGAAAGCGTTGATAATTAAATCAAATTATTGGGAAGTTAAATGTATGATCTAATTAGATTTATAACAGCTAACGTCTATTTACTTCTTAGGTCGTTGGCCTAAAAAATCTGCGGAATTTCTGCTGCAACTTTTGAAAAATGCAGAGAGTAATGCCGATTATAGAGGACTCGACGTAGACCGCCTTGTAATCGAGCATATTCAAGTTAATCATGCACCTTGCCTTCGTAGAAGAACATACAGAGCTCATGGTCGCATAAATCGTAAGTGTTTTTATAATTCTGTAACAAATATTGAGCCTGTTTTTATTTTTATCTGAACTTGCAACAGCATCGTTCATCTTTTCTCTTTTTTTTCTTCAAAAATAAGTAGAAAGAAAAAAAGGGAAAGATGAACTGTGCAACAAGTTTAGTTGAAACAAACAGATCTGATTCTTTAAATATATATATAGGCAGCGGATTATTTCTAAGATTTATGATTCTTATAGCTTATATGAGCTCGCCTTGTCATATTGAAGTAATATTGACAGAAAAAGAGGACGTTGTTGCGAAAGCCACAGAGGAGGAGCCATCGAAAAAGAAACTTAGTAAGAAAAAGCTCGCTAGACAAAAGGAAAAGATGATGAGAGAATGATTTCATTACTTTATATGGACGTGTATTGTGAATATACCGTGAAAAATGGAGATTACTTGGTTTTTACTTCCATTTTCATATCTCTTTACTTACGTCCTATCCTAAATACAGTTTACGTACACTGAAATGTATTTTATCATAAATACTATTTATCTTTTTTTTTTGTTCAGAACCTTCAACTTTTTATTCTTGTAAAATTGAATCGTATATGAGATGAGAATCGAAATTGAACCCGGAACTTGCCGATTACAAGTCAATCAAGGCTTGCTGAGAAAACTACCAAATCATGATTGCTATCAAAAAAGTCTCCATTTTTTAATTTTCTTTTCCAATTCATATAGTCTTTTGCAAATTGTAATTTTCATCTCACATTCTTCAAATTTAAATGTGAAACTTTCCTAGCAGATCTACCATTTAAATTACATTCTTAAAATCTTCGTCAAATTATACAAACTTACAGGAAGGTTCTAACACGTACAATTTGACTTACAAGGGAACCGTTGGAACTGTCCCTCACCGATTTTGATGGGCTTTGGATATGTAAAGTATAAAAAAATATTAGACCCATATTTTTTTATCAGCGTATCTTAAGGTTTAGAGGATGAAAAAACCCCTCGAAAAAAAAAAATATGGATTTTATCGTTTTTATCAAATATCTTCGAAACTATGCGATATATTAAAAAATGTTTAATACAAAAGTTTTATGATATTTTGTGCTCTATATAATGGTGTATTCACTTTTTTTTTAATATCAAATTTTTTAATTTTTCCCTACCTCCACTTTATTAATTTTCACCCCCTTGAGATACGCTGATAAAAAAAATATGGATCCAAATATTTTTTTATACTCTACAACACATCCAAAGCCCATCAAAATCGGTGAGGGACGGTTCCGATGATTCCCTTGTTAGAACTGCGAGTTTCTTCATTATTTTTGAGTCTTAATGCATTTTCCACTATTTTTCTAGCAACCAATAATTTTTTTAATTTCTTGTTACAATTTCTTTTCATTGCATAAAATAAAAATTTTTATTTTCTCATTAGCTCTACAGAATATTTCGCTCTATTTTCGTTGCAATTTTAAATAACTAAATTTTATTATAATTTTACTATTTAATCTATACAATCACATTAATATTTAACATAACAAACTTTTTTTATGTTAATAAACTTACATTAATAATTTAGATTTATTATTATGACCAGACTACTTATAGTACAGGTCATTTCAAGATTCTCGCAATACAACCTGGACCTTATTTCAGCAATAATGGACGTTATGTTTTTTATTTGAATTGTTGCTGATGTACAATAAATGACATTACAGGCAAATGAAGACAGACGAGTAAAATAATTATTTTATTAATTTTTATGTAGGTGACTGTTTTCATGACCACCACTATATATATTCGACTTTAAATGAAAGCGGGAAAAAAGTTTTACTGCGGTCTAATACAGCGATAAAGAACAGGCCTTTACTCTTACATACATGTGTCATTTCTATTAGATGCATCATATTTGTATACTATTTGGATTGAATCTCAATTTTTCTAAGTCTAATATTTTATGTGTCGTATGACAAGCTTTCAAGCCTTTTGGTTGGCTGCACGATAGAAGGATCCGAGATCTCTTTTCTGTCCTGCATCAGCCTAAGTCCTCAGTCTCTTGTTAGAAACGTGCTGACCTCTTCTGCATATATCCACTGATATGTGAGACCTACAATTTCAACGCCAGTTCCGAATAACTTACAAAAGATTAGTTCTATTAATAAGAGATTAACTTGATTATCTTGGTTTAATTTACCTTTTAACTTTTTCTAATTCTAAGAATAAAAATTCTGAGAATTAGAAAAATAATCAGTAAGTAAACTGAGATTAAAATTCTTACTTAATGAAACCGGATCTGGAAAAGAAAGATTGTCATGACAAAGATACTATTCTCGATTTGCCATTACCTTCCGAGAAGTGACATCAGATAAAATCTGATATGTGTATTTTGGATGGATTTAAATCCAGATCTTTAGCATAGAGAATATAACTCTACACCACGATCATCACTTCTTAATACAGAAGATTAGGAAAGAATATTAAAAGCATTAAGGAATATGTTACTTTCTTTTAATTTTTTTTACATGTCAAGTTATGTCCATAATGCGATAACAAATTTATTTATTGTTAGTCTCAATCTTCAATCGAAAGAGAATATATTATAGGAAAATATATTTATTATATATCGCAATTAGTTCAAGGATTTAATTACGGTATTTTTAAATACTATGATTAATGTCAGTATATATGTATAAAATTCGACTAAGGCACCTAATTTGTGTATCATGTATCAAACTAGATGTTCGTTTTCTAGTTTCGTCGCTTCCGTTAAACTTTCGCTACAACGTTCTGCTTAAACAATGTTCTATATTTTTTTTTACCTATTATAATAACGATTATATTATAAACAGCAGATATTCTAATTTCCTACTTAGCGAAATGAGAATATTTTTCGAACTTTAAATTTCTCTGCAACGCTACTTTTACAATCGTCTCGTTTACTCCGGATTCCATAAAATTCAACGGCACTTATGTACTGGACAGAAGATAAATGATCAATTGCTGCCCGATTGGGATGGATTTTCGCTGAGGTCAGGAAAGTGGTTCGCGCGTTGTGTTAGGTAGGAATAAACACAGCAAACCTCCTCCTGTAAAATGAAGTATATGGAGTGAGAAAGTTAAAAATAAAAAATTAAACAAAAAATTGGGAAATAAGAAGAAGATATTAGAAGCATACCAATTAGAAGTGCCGCCACTATGAAGGTCGGTGCTGGACAATACATGTCCAAGAGTTGGGCTATAACGATATTACCAATTATCCCGCCGAGACGGGCAGCGACCATCGAGATAGCAATCCCGGTGGCACGCAGTTGCGTCGGAAACACCTCGGTAATGAGACAATCCAATGCTGCATTACCACAACTTATCGCACCGCTGAAGATGGCTGACACAGTCAAATTCTGATATTTGTTGTACACAAAGTATAAGCCGATCGAGCACAGTCCTGATGAAAATGTGCTGAACACTACGGGAAAGTACGCATAAGATATTTTTAGAATAATTATTAAAAAAGTTGTAAGGTGCCACATTCTGATAATCTTAGATCTGTTCTTTTCAACTGATTATTTTGCACAGTTCATCTTTCTTCTTTTTCTCTCTATGGAGAAAAAAAGGGAAAAGGTGAAAGAAGAATGATGTAAGAAGTAGTTCAGCTAAAAAAACGAGGTCTCTTATTACTTTTGATTTTCATAATAATAAGCACCTAGAAAGAATTTACGTCCAAGGCGATCCATTCCCAAAACAGCAATGATATTGGCAGGTATGGCGGACGCCACTGTGATGAGGGATTCCATAAAGACAGAAGCTCCGATTTTATCGGAGCAAACGTTCTCGACGCTGTGCGAACCCTTGTTGACGACATAATCGGTAACTTGGCAGATCGAAGCCACTTCGCCTGGTTGATCGCGATGGAACTCGTCGAAACGGTTAAACAGCTCAGGAAACCACATCATCAGACCGTAGTAACCGATATGGAAGGTGAAATTAATAACGATCGATATTATTGTAAAGCGAAGTATAGGTGTTACGAATAGCTGTCTACTATTCTCCACGATGTCACCCAGCATAGTTTTACACTTGCTCTTTTCTTCAACTTCATCTTTCACCGGGTTTGACTCTTGATAGTCATCCAGGATCAATTCTTTTACCTATATCATAAAGATATTTTAGAATTAATTTAAAGACCGAACCTTACTATATAAAATGACGTTTGTATTAACAGCATTAGGTGACAGCAGTCTAATTGAAAATCTTGTTAATTCAAACAATTAACGATATTAATGAAATAAATACGCCATGATTTTATTTTAGTAAAATGTCATTTGTTTCATCCTTATTTGTTTAATCCTGTTCTCACATAACAAACGTGTCTATATTTTTTTATTGTTGGTATGTTGATCGTATGATGTGAAGCTACCAGAATTGTAGCAACTAAGTCCGCATTTGTTGGCTTTCATTTATGACAACTTTGAGTAACAACTTCCTGGGAATTTTGAAATCATCATCCATCAAAATTCGTATTATTGTTATATCGTTATGTTGCCATAATAATTTATTGGATCACACAATGCTGTCATATATTGCCGACAATTCGAGATAATTTTGATGCTGCTATCTTGCCGAGATAACCGTAAAACGACTAGTAATACATATTGTTTCTTATTTCTTCAATGTCAGTGTGTGTGAAATCGTTGAAGACAAATATATGGTAAGTTGGCAACATCACAAGCTATCACAGATTTGCGTGATTTTGCTTATACACGCTTTGTTATCTGGTTATTGAGTAAGATTATTAAATAAACAAAATTAGACTACTGTTGGCTGATACTGTTGAGTAATACAACGTACATTTTTTACGTGTACTATAATGCCCGTTACTATTAAATTATTTAAAATCTAATTACCGTGTAGGAATCGCGTGGTTTGCCGGTGTTAATAACATATATCTTGCGAAAAATTTCAAGTGCCTCTTCATATTTTCCGGAAGATAAGAGGTACTTGGGAGATTCAGGGAGTAGCAGAAGCAACCCCGTTACAACGAACGACGGAATAGCGCAGATCAATAGGAAAATTCGCCAAGAATTGTACGTGAACGTTGTGCTCGTAAAACCCATCTCCCTAGGGATGATCAACCATGCCAAGCCTGTGAATGAAAAACCAAAATTGTGTATAAATGTACAAAGAGAAAACGCTTATCAACAAAATTACTAAAACGTTTAATAAGTTAAACTAGATCACTATGAATGAATCAAATAAGTAAAAAAGGGCCAAATATAGTCGAAGCTAGAATTTGCCTAATAATATTTATATGTAAATTTTAAATACATCTTCTATTGTAGTTAAATAAACTGCGTGTCGATTATTGTTATTGTAACTGAAAACGCAATCACATAAACTGGAGCTAAAATTACAAATTAAAATAATCAATTTAATTTGTACTATTTCTGCTTCAGTTTATGATTGTGTTTCGAGTTCAATAATAATTGGTGCACAGTCTATATAACTAAAAGTTTTATTTAAAATTTATACAGAAATATTATAGATATTTATATATACATATATAGCTCTTGATCGTGTTTGACTTCTTATTCGTTTATAACTATGTTATCGTACCGGCTACAAAAAGGTTCCCCAACGTCCAGAATGCTGCCATGAATGACAGCATGGAACCGCGTTTAGACTTCGGCTGAAATTCAGCGAAGTACGACCAGATGACCGGTCCGCTACCTCCTAGCCTGGAACGTCACTAAATTATTCAACTTTTTCGTTGCTGAGCGAGCACACGTAGCACGGCTATATCGCAGTTAATAGCAATTACGCTATTTATTTTGGATACTTACGCTGCACCGTTCAGAAAACGGAACAACATGAAGAGCTCATACGTCTGACTGAAGCTAGAAGCAACAATGCACAGAGCGTTCATGAACGAGATGGCGATCAGGACCTTCCGACGACCGAGAGCGTCCGCTATGGAACCCCAAGCGTACGCCCCGGCCATCATTCCGATAAAGATGATCGAGTTGAGCCATCCTTTTGCTTGAGTGTCGAGCTTCAGATCACATTGCGCACTCGGCAAGATGAAGGACATAGAGATCACGTCCATCTCCTCGCTGGTGCTAACAAAGCCGCACACCGCGAGTAGGAAGTAGTGAAACTTGCCATATTCTGTAGAAATGATGAAATAATGATAAATCCATTTAACAATATTATAACAACATAAATCAATCAATGTTATAATTTCAACAGTGTAACTATTATATAACATATGTGCAGGGTAGAATAGTAATTAGTTAAAAGTTAAATAAGAAGTTAAAAGATTAATAACATTTAACTTAATTTAATTACTTTCAAACTTTAATTTATTAACTTTTTTCTTTTTAAGTAAAATCTTTTTTAAACATAAAATAACAATAAGGGCTACGAGTCAAAATATGATACAATATTTGAATATTGAACAAACGTTTCGACCTTTTTATCAGGCCATCCTCAATGTTTACAGTGCAAATTTTAAGCAAAAATTAATTTTCAGTAATAGTTACGATTTTAAATTCATAGTTACGCTGATATAAATTTGTAGTTCGAAGATAGTCGTGATTCTTCATGTATTGTCGCAAAAATTATAATTCCTCTCTCTTGTGGTTTCATTCATTAACCTTCACATATGTGTCTAGCAGTCGCAAATCCAGTGTTAATAAAATCGGATATATTTAAAAATATGAAGTCAGTCGATAAAGTATAAGAACACATACTTAAGGCGTAGCAAGGATATAAGTCCAATAATTAAAATAGTGAGTCAAAATAATTGAGAAGCAAAATGCGATCCGAGTCTAAAAATTCAAAACTTGTTCAGTCAGAAACTGGTGACATTATGAATAAAATATTTTTTATCTCTCTATACGCCAATATTTTTTTCTATAAAATCTTAAACAGAGAATTATTTAATCCGGATTCAAATTCCGGCCGAGATAATATTTTTTGCAATAAGTTATTTGCAGGTTTTAAAATGCGAGTAGCATCAAATTATAGATCTAATTGAGAAAATTTGGGGGAATATTAATATTTTAGATTGATTGTGTTGAAAGACCGGAAGTAATCGGCACGCAGTAATTTCTGAGATAAATTTATTTAAAATACGATATATGTATTAGAGTCTAATATCTAATTTTGACCTAAGTGACGCTTCTTTGTATTTATTAGAGAACTAGTTTAGATAAAGCTCAATGATTGTGTGATAGGCGCGACGTTTATAGTAAACGTGGGAAATTAATGAACTTCAGGACTGCATTTAGTTATCAACGCTATTACGTCATTGTATCTTTATTTTACGTAATGAGCGATAAAGAAAAAATGACGCAATAGCGCTGTTTTTCCAACCTTAGTTGGATACAAAGTCTATGCTTATTAGTAAAAAAAACTATTCTTTGTACTTCATAAAATTTACAAATAAAATATTAAATTTATCTAATGATCTATATTATAACTGTTCCGTTATTTAAAATAAGAAAATTTTTCACCAGAGATGTATAAAGGAAATAGAATATACTCCTGAGTTGTGCATGAAGTTGATTGTAGACATGCACAACAGCCGGGCACTCGCGAAAACCCCCGCGGGAGCCCGTGCCCAATTTCAGTATTTTGCTGATCCCTGGTTTGAATTAGTTTTTTATTCATGAAACTTTTAATGTAATTAAATTAATTTTACAAGCAACTAACTTTAACTTAATTTAGTTTAAAAAAAAACATTAACTTATCCTGCATATGTGTTATATTACATTTAAGGCCCTCAGTCAGTAAATGGTCGTAAAAGGCACGTAAAGTAAAAATAGGCTACATATGCGCATTAAGTAAATGCTGGTAAATACACTTCACGTATCTTTTATGACTATTTACTGATTATCAGATGGGATAAGGATAGTTTCGGCCTATTTTTACAAGTGTTTTAAAGTGATCTCATTATTTTGTTTTACCTAAATTCTCTTTATTTACAAATGGCATGCAAAAAACTTCCAACGTTTCTCGCTTATAATATCACGATCCAATATGGTCGCAATGACTACTCAGGAGCCTTAAGCTGCTTTCATTTTAGGAGACACAGTCGACACAAACGTCATTCTTTTTTCAATGAATAACAAAGATAAAACTTATCAACTGTATCTCCTAAAAGGAAAGTAGCCTTACATTGTTGAGCATGAAATTATAACATTGTTGATATTATATTACTATTAGTTGATGTTTACTGGCTACTCATCAACAGTAACATCTATATTATAATTTTTCACTTAACAGTATAAATATAACATAAAACATGTCGTACGTAACAGTTATATCGCTACGTACAACATTAAGTAGAAAGTTATAACATTAATTGATATTATATGTTAGCTAGTTTTTCCTAGGAAGCGATTATAAGAAATGCTTCAATGAACGTGATAAACTCACCGCTTAGTTCGATGGCCTTCTCGAAATCAGCTTGAACATAGGATCCCTTCTCTGGATCGAGTGTTTTGCCTTTTAATCCGATACCTGATAGGATAGACATAATTAGTGATAAATCGTAGATTCAATATAATGCACAAAGTGAATGCCGACTTTTACTTGAGCTTTATACTTACAGGCAAGTTCGAGTTCCTTAGAACCGCAACCGTTTAGTCGCTCGTCTTTTACATCACACTCTGCAACGCGAAATTGCTATCGTTAAGAAGTTGCCCCTATAACCATCAAATGGAAGTCTACTGCCTATTTCTATCATTTAACTTCAATATAGTTTAATTTCCCATACAGCACAGAAGTTTATAGCAACATTGCTGCAATGTTATTATTGTACAATATGCTAGAATGTTACAATGTTATTGCAATGTTACTGAAATGATATGTATTTTATATACGGATTGTTCCTTATTTTTTTCTATTTCTTAAGATCAGAAAAAGATAAAAAGTAAACTAAATCGAAGTTAAAATTAATTTGGGTCGAAACAAAAGTTCGTAGCGCTACAAATTTCAAAATTTAAGCAGTTATAACTTAGTCAAACATAAACTAAATTTAAATTTAAAATGAGTTTCAAATTAAGTTAAAGATAAGAGTTAAAAATCTGTATTTTCGAAAAGTCATTATATTCTTTAGTTTCTATGAGTTTGATAATGTTTATATATGTACAGAAAACTACAGCTGAATAAAACGGGAAATTTTTTTTCTCATTTTTTAGACTTGTCACGTGCTCAAACAAAGCCTGCGAAAATTTTCGACTTTCTAACGTGAAAACTTAAAATTTTCCTTACAAAATCGATTTTTTAAATGTTCCAAAATTTTTTTTATTATCGCGGATTAAATAAAAGAAGCATTTTGACTTCAATTTTTTATAACTTCGTTAAAAATCATCATACCGCGCAATTTAAAATCAGATTCAAAAAGCTGAAATTTTGCTCTATCGAGTATAATTGCGAATTTCTTTTAAACATGTAAACATGATACAAATGAAGCAATGTTAACATTTATTCCGACCTAATATATTGAAATACGTAGAAATGGATACAGAAGATTTTAAAGCTGCACGTACTGATATTGCGCTTTGTGTCGGGTTCACCTTCTACCATTCTACGATGTCGGCGCGTGTGGGTGAAGCCGTTTGGTTAAAAGAATCAGATATCGAGCCTTTGCGTTCGACAAGAAGTTTTGTCGAATGTCAGGCCGGTGTGGTCGAACAGTGGCTGAAGTCTTTCTGTTGAATCTGCTCTGATCTGCTGCTCGTCGGCGGGGCTGGGCTTCGCGCTCGCTCGTGAACTGAAATAGATCGAATGATAATTAAAATTTTCTAACTCGCAAATTTGTTGAATAAAAGAACAACTTTGTTCTATTCACACGTGCTGATACTAATTAAAAAAAAAAAAATTTTGTTTCTATTGGCTCTCGTCGCTACGTCGTACAACGGTTTATTCGTAACAGAGCTCGGAGAGGCGCGGATGAAATTATACGAATTCATCTAACAACGTTGAGTGTCTGTGATGCAATATTCGTAAAGTACTAGTCGTTAGTTCGACACACCAGTGAGTCGACATTCCCGTGTCTGAGCCCGTAATTTTGCAACGAAGCGATATCGCGTGTTGTCGTTAACGCGAATTCCCGGAGCGAGATTAGTCTCGAAGATAATTGGATTAATCGGGAAAATAGGACCTCGGTAAATCCGAACGATGACCTAGCGTAGATCTAGGAATGCAGATCGTCCCGGGATCAGTGGCTGTCTCTTGATCCCACAGCCTCCTTCCTAATAGCAATATTATCACATAAATCAATCCCGGTATAAGCTGCGCATTCAATTTAAGTAACGCAATTTTTCCGTTAAATGCATCATCGTTATATCTCGAATTGCGTATACTGGAAACGATGAGTAAGCAGCGTTATTTTACAATATATCTAAATATCATTTGCATTGCATTTCTTGGACTTCGCTGATCGTGTGATACGTTATTACGGAAAATATTACATATTCGAAGGCGATACGTCGTCTTTGGAGCTGTACTTTGAGTGTCCTTGATGCGCTCAGGAAAAAAAAACATCGAACGCATTTTAAATCCGCGATCCGGTGTGTTTCGCGATCGTTAGAATTATTACTAGTTCCCACAATTCTATTATGAGCAAACGTTACAAGCGATCGTACGTAACACCTCTCGTGCACTAATCTTTGCTCGGTACACATCATCAACTACTAGTGGTGATCACTGGTCATTAGCTATCGATGAAATGGTAGCGAACTAGATATTGTAAATCTTAAACGAATCACCATTGTCACCGGAGAGATAGTAAAGAATGAAGTTATAAAGAACATTCTGAGGTAATAACATTAAAATGTTTAGATGGAATTAATTATACACTGAAAAAAAAGATTGGCTGCTGCAGCAAATTAGATGGTAAAATATGGCATAGCATTTTTAATTGGTTGCATAAGTCAATTTTTGGTTGTGTTAGCCTATCGAAATTCTATATTGATATTGCGGATAGGCTAACGCAATCAAAAATTGGGTACTGCAACCAAAAATTGGCTGCTGCAGCCAATTAAAAATGCTATGCCATATTTTATCATCTAATTTGTTGCAGCAGCCAATCTTTTTTTTCAGTGTACGAGTGTACAATGAAACGTATCATTTTATTTGAAGGATAGAAAGCATACTTTAAAAAACTATGGATAAATATGGATTTAATGCCATGCAGTTTTTATAAATTCTCACCGTTTAGTGTTGATATAAATACCAATATAGTGTATTAATATAAACATCATTGGTTTTAAATCTACATCATGTACTCAACTAATGCTAATCATTTATAAAGAGCGCAGTGTTTTGCTTATAAAGTGAATCCCCTAAATTGAACTTTAAGGTGAATAAATTTTTAAACAAAATACATAAAATGTGTTTTTAACAATACAATTTTGTTAAAAATTTATTCAAGGACCACCGGATCTAGAATATCTAGGAAAATTATGATTTTGTGAAATATACATGTATGGAATATTTTCCGAATATGTAAATATAAACAATGTATGAATGGAATATTTAACGATATTTGAATGTTGCTTTTACATTCTGTAAATATTTCGAAATATTCCGGAATATGCTTAGAAAGTTATTTTGAAATTTTAGGAACATTTTATGAATATTTTAGGAATATTTAGCGTTAGGCACTGACATTAATTAGAGTCGGGATTAGACGTTTCGACACCCGAGGCAAAAGAAAAAAGTACGCCCCTTCAGTAACAAAAAGAAAAAATAAAATAAAAATTAATACTAACTAGTGATGTTTAACATTAAAAAAAAAATTTGATGTTAATATTAATTTAATAGGAACATAATCGCATGTACAAAGATAACAAGAAATAGAAAAAATTTTTGTTTCACATATGCAATCAGTGACTCGTTGAGTCTCAAACGGTAATATAAGGTAGAGAGGGTATAAAGAGAGTGGCGCTAATGTGCTAATGCCTAATACTGATTGGTTCCGCCATTTATAGATTAACTATTAGTTAGAAAAAGACAACGTTAGAAAAAGAAGAGCTTAGGACGAGGAATTGCATCATACATATTTGCTGGAAATAGCGACTTCCGGCTAATTGGCGTCACTCTCTTTATACCCTCTAATACAGGGTGTCATCTCAGAAATTGGTCCAAAGTTGCATCTGCCAAGCACTGCTCTATTGTGAACTACTATAGCTGAAGTCTCAAAAAATTCTAAAGTATTAAAAAATATTCTTTCAAAATTTAAAAATGTCTGCATGTAAATGTAACAAAAAATACTAACTTACTAATTTTCTAACCCATTTAACTCGCGTAACTCATCTTCCAAAAGTAACAATTAAAATTCATTTCTGAAAAAACCTATGATTCACGTAAATCGCCCAATTGTTCGTTGCACAATGCCTGCGTCCAGCGAAAAACGTAGTTTTGCAACTGTTGTAAAATTCTTGAATATGATTCGCCCCCTCAAATTTTTTACATAAAGCAAATGCTTCGCCTGCCACATTCTAGTTCCATCTCTGTCTGTGCAATCATGTTTTTATTTCCTCCATCTATAATCGAGGTTTTTTGTCTAATTTTTTATTGTTTAAACTTTCAGAAAATGTAAAAAAATTTGGGATTACTTTCCAACATCTTTATTACATTACCAAACAATTTTCTCGGTTGTTTTAGAATTGGACTTCGTCTTTCTTTATTTCGAGAAAAAGAGAATTAACTTTCTCTAAAGTAATCGGAGAAATTTGAGAATAAAATTCCACTTGAGCTAAAAAAGTTTCAGATTGGTCGTTACGACTGTCTTAGGCGCCGCTACACTAGAATTTGCTTACGCGCCTCAGCGCGAAACTGCAAAAACAAATAAAAGACAATTTAAAAAATTCCTTTTAGCGCTATCCAGAACTACGACAAAGGCACAACGAGATAATATTTTTGTTTTTGTTTTCTTACATTTCATACATTTAGGAAAACGCAACAGGAAAGCAACCAATAGGAAGACGCGATTGCCGACATTCGCTTAATTAAAAGCATTGCGCTACACTTCTAAATCTAGAATAGGGACAGTGATGACATTGCAGACGAAGCAATCAATTTTCATATGTTTTTGTACACTTCAAAAATTATTAAGTGCCTGTTAAAAAATTTTGCGCCCTTCCAAATTTTGTTCTATGCTGGAGCGTATATTGTGTACTGCCTAGCAATGGCCCTGCAGATTGTAAACGGAGGATAACACCAACACGGTGAGAAATATACAAACAACACTACATCGTATTGATTTTTAGAATGCACGAGGTTACAGGGTGTCTGAATGCGCGCACCAGAAGGACGAAAAGGAAAAAAATAACCATTTAATTATGCGGTATTTGTATTAATTGGATAATATGAATCATTATACAGTAGTGATACGCATGCTAAATATGTAAAAAAAAAAGAAAGCACTGTGACCGTGACAGGACTCGAACCTGCAATCTTCGGATCCGAAGTCCGACGCCTTATCCGTTAGGCCACACGGTCTTATTGAAGGGTTGTTTCTCAAGAGAAGTATTTCATTGCTTAGGATGTATTTTGGGATGCTGTTATCGATCTATTTCGGATATTCGACAAAAGTTAATATTCAAACTTTTAGAGCTTAAGTACTTTTCCGTAATAAAAATTAACGAATATTAAAATATCAAATGCATAGAAATTTGCTGATAACGATAATTTTAATTAAATATTTTATTATATAATATATAAAGAGGTTGATATTTATTAATATCTTTGTCATTTTCATACATTTTTTCCTATTAAAATATTTAATATATTACATATAAGTATATATGCATATAATGTACTTCTTTAATGCTGTTTAATATTTTTAATGGCTGTAGAAGAATCGCATTTAATTGAAGAGTTTGGACGATCGTTTATATCGTCGATTCTGAAAAGAGAGAAGTTTAACGACGTAATTGCGAAGGAGGCGTTTCACGGTTTAACGCCATTCTAGAAAACGACACGACATCCTGACTTGCTAATGAACGAACATCACGCGCGTCCCTTTCCGACGTTTCGTCGCGACACAGAACCGTTTCCTCTGCGATTAAGATTGGCTGTTTGCGAGCCTAGCCATTAAGTTTTTGCGCGTTCGGAACTTCGGATAAAAAAAATTACTTAACTTTTTATAAAACAGCTAATATTCAGCAAACAGGACATTTCTAAGAAGTCTACAATAAATCACAAAGAAGCGGTGCAATTATCATAATTATTCGTCATAATATCATAATTATTATTGCGAAGTTGCGGTCAATAATCAACATTTGATTGAAAAATAAAAACATAGATATCGCTAAACCGGATGTCCTAACAATAAATCTTCTGATCAATTCTCTATTTTTTTTAGCGAACATGTTGAGGAAAGTCATAAATTATTTATTTGCAACTTTTTAATTTTTCCATCGTATATCCTTATACCTAAGCTTTAAACTAAAATTTTATTAATAGAAGTTTAATTTACATCGTTTGCAATTCAAAAATCAATTGTCGTTTTTTTTTTGAGGAAAATTGATTCTAAAAATAATTATTATCAAGGTAAAAACATACGTATTGAGTCATCTTATATCGATTGTAATTATAGATTGTAATCAACAAATTGCAAATAATAACGAATTATATCAGAAATTGCTATCAGTTTTGAAATCATTTATGAGCTATTAAGCATAAGTAAAATGCATTCTGTTAAATATTATACTTACAATTAGTCATTAGCTTAGTTTACTCTTAGATTGTTATCGTAGCGATGTAAAAATTAAAACACAAAAAAGAAAATATTTAAATGGTTAATGCTAGCCATTTAAGTCAAATGACTGAAAAGAGAGAAAGAAATTAATTACGTATGATAATGTCTTCTCAAGTGTTCGAGTAACATTAAATTGACATTTATATATCTTGCAAAAATAGAATGAAGTTGCGAGATATGATTTATAAAGAAAAATCTTGATATAAAATTGTGAGTTATTAGTAAGATTTATAAGTTATTGTTTAGAATTATTTTTCAATTCTTCCTTCATAGAAAAATAAAAATCAATAGTGTTTAAACATGTTTCTTTTCCTCTGCTTTTATTTATATTTATTTTATATTGTTTACTGTTTATAGTTATATCTTACATGCCTATTTTTGTTTATATATATTAAAATAATTCACTTAATTTGAAAACCTTAAATATTTCACTTATTTTTAATGGTATGAAAAAATGTTTCAGATAAAAATGGAATGATTTCGAGGGAGATACGTATTTTGATCACGTTGCTTTTTTCTAAGTGGATGCGCAATATAGATATATATATAAAACATTTTTCCATTTAGAAAAAAACTTTCCACTTCGAAAAAAATAACGTGATCAAAATACGTCCCCCTCGAAACCGTTCTACTTTTATCGGAAACATTTTTTCGTATCATTAAAAATAAGTAAAATATTCAAGGTTTTCAAGTTAAGTGGACCATCCTGAATACAACTTCTAACACATTTGGCTTTTTCTGAATACTTATACGAGGTGTTATCTTTGCGCATATCATACAACTGATACTGTGTTCTTATCGTTAAAAATATAACACGGAGGAAAATTGAAAAAGTATGCATTTTCTTAAAGTCTCAAAAATGAAACACTCAAATATTCGTTCTTCACATTGTGCAAACTCATATACTTATGAAACATAAATTAAAATATGCATTCTTTCAAATACGAACATTTCAATGCGATTGTAGACATTTAAATTAATAAGATATTATTTAACATCTATTTATATAATACAAAAATATTTATACAAATCGTTAGCCTAAAGCAGAAAAGATATATGTATATATATTATATATATATATACATGTATATACACACACACACTAATTCTTGATTGATTCGATTTCCATTCAGTGTTTCCATTCAAAAATTGATATACTGGCCAGTAGAGTTTTCACATAATATGTGAAAATGAATTACTATAAACTGTACCTTCATGAGAAGAAAAACTAGCCTGTACACACACACGCACACACCCACGATGTTCAGAAACATGATTTTTCTTTTATGAAAAGATACAGTTTATAATAATTCATTCTCATATGTCATGAGCAAATTCTATTGACTAATATAAAGTATATTAATTTTTATACATTAAATGAAAATCGAATCAATCAAGAATTAGTAAAGATAACACATTTATCTTATTTCCATTTTAAGCAAACGCCAATTATAGGTTTAATTTATACTATACAGTGTATTAGGTTTAAACGTATACATTTATTATTAGTTATTTTTTTAAATAACAGAATTATAAAAAAATCTTTTTAATAACCCCCGGATTCGATCCTTGACCGAGATAATATTTTTCGCAATAAAATTGTTTGTAGACTTTAGGATGCTTATCAACATCAGAATATTAAGATCAATTTAAGATGTCTTATGTGAGCATCAATTTAATTTGTGATATTGCTACTCTAGTTCTGTTAGAATTGCATTTCAAGACTGAAAATAAATTCGGCGCGCAGTTTGAGGAATTAGATATAAGTATATAAATTCACATAGAATTATTTCAGCACTAAAGACCCAGCTTGATCGTTAAGGCCTCTATTTCTAAGTTGTTTAGTCACACTACGGTCTTATAAAACATTTTGTATTTTTTAAATAAAAACTATTTTGTTTAACAAGATATCATAATGACTTAAACAAAAGTTTTTAAATATTTTTTTAGATATTTTTAATTATCGTTTTATTTTTCAAATAAAATATAATATATACTTATTTTATTGCAATTTTGTAAGAATTTCGTGATAAATTATTTTATGATAAAGTCAATAATGTGCAATAAGTGTGATTTTTCGATAATCATTAATAAAATATATTCCCAGACAACAAAAAGTGTCTAAAATCGAGTCATAAAACGTTTTTTGCGTCTAAAAGACAACTTAAAGATGTCTTATGCACAATTTTAGACTTTGTGTTGTTTGGATTGTCACTTATGTTTTGGGTATATGAGTAAAAAAACAAAATATCTTTAATAAAAACGTTTATTAATTATAACACAATATTTTAAAGATTAGAAAACACTTTTATCAAATATATCTGTTTTTCCACTTATAAATATCATAGACATAACAATAAAAGTACACTGCACATTTCTATGAAGTTATCACTATCTATTTAGAAAGACAAAGGTAGCTTGAATTATGTAGGTATCTCTCTTTTTAAAATATCGAATTGAAGAGAAATATTGATATGATTCAATTTTTTTCTGACGGAGCATGAATGCTAAGAACCAGGGAATGTGCAGTCTATATTTATTATGTTTATGATAAAGATCTAACAGCAATACAAGTGACAATAGGGAGTTTTTGCGTGAATTCAGATACGGTGAACGCTAAAGTTACGTTATTCTTTTCTTAATTAGTTATTAAGAAGAAGATAATTTAACCTTAGCGTTCATCATATCTGGATAAACAGTATTACAAAAATTCCCTCGAACAATTATTGAAAATTATGTTATGACATATACACTATTAAATAATTATTGTTATATATTATCACAAAATATCTTACAAAATTATGATAAAATATAATAGTTATCTATTTACATTCCATTTAAAAAATAAAACTGATAAAAAATATTTTTAAAAGTGATAATTTAAAATTTTTGTTTAAGTTATTATATACGAGAAAAATAATGTATTAATACTATTAAATATTAATTAATAAAAGACTGATTGAAAATAATTTTGTTGATTCAATAGCAGTATTAATGGAACAATTATATCATGCTCTTGGTTTAATAAAATGTTATATGTTTCATTAATGCTGTTATTGAATCAATAAGATTATTTTCTATTAAACTACTATTAGCTAATCCTGTTAATATATTTTTAAAAATATTTAATATTTCTTACAAAGAAAATAAGAATAGTTAACTTGGAATTATATATCGTTATAACAATTAATGTAATAGTATATGTAAGAAAATATTTTATTTTATGTAGAGGACAGATTTTTTAATCGCTTTGTCCTAATAAAACTGTAAAATTAGTTGTGAGCCCGCATTTAGTGTTTATATTTGTTAAATAATAGTCTGTGAAGTTTATCGAAACTCAAACTGCATCTTACATTTTGCATCAACATCTTCGAACTCCCGACTAACAATACTAATTTTTAATGCTAACACGCGAAAACGAAACGAGGTCGAGTTCTGTGAAGAGCTCGAAGTGGCACGCACATTAAACAACGCTGCACTAAAGAAACGAATGATTTGTGCGTACAGAATTACGGTCAGTCTTAATTATAAATATCGTAATCTCACTTTTTCGACAAAATTAACAGAAGAAAGTGCTAGACGATGGCACAAAATTCGGACTTGGCATTCTTATTAATTATTTATTAATTGAACTGATTAGATGTCAGTAATGATTAGATACCAAAAAGTTGTATCAAAAAATTTGCCAAGTGTGGAAAATAAATTTTTGAAAATTTTTGACGAAATTAACCGCCTTTCATAATCACAATTCCCAGTGAGAAACAAAAATCTAGTCAACGTCAATCTGATTAAAACAATATCTGCATTCACTGAAAACGTTTTTACGATACTGCTTTCTATGAAGACGAGACCATTTATACAGAAAAAGAAGAAGTGATTAGATATCAATAAATTTTGATACCAATGATTTCGATATTACGGACACGAGAATGTTACGCTTGCTCTGAAAACTTACTTTGATATGACGATTCTTAATCAAACTCCGCGTATGTACAATCTTCCTTCTGAAAGGATTCGATGAAGAAATGTTTTTCCGTGAAAAATACTTCCTATCCCGCAGAATTCTACAGGTCGTATGACTTTTTCTGTATGCTTGCGAACTCCTTGAAGGACGGTATCTCTTGCGCCGTCAAATTTTCGTGACATGTGTTGTAATCACTTTTTACAATTCTCGTAAATTTCCGCCGTCTTGTGTGAGTAAAGAGACCATATTTCACTCAAGCAAACGTATCACACAATCGTGAAATATCTTAACATTCTTGGTAATATATTATAGCGCACACGCGCACCTTCCACGAAAGTATTTCAGCGATAGAAAATTATTGCTATCGAAAATTACTGCTATCTGTCAGTATAATTTGTCAGTAAATGCAAGACGATATGAGTCAAACGTTGATGACTTTTACGATAATTTGATGGGCGATTTTCGTAATGGTTTTCGGTGACGCGGCGAGGACGCACCTGGATACATCTGCGGGATGTGGTAATCACACGTGTGACCCACGAAACCCCGGGACTCCCGGGATTTCGATGTTGGTTTAATGTTCGGTTAATCGTTCCTCGCCCAATCGCGTCAAGTCAGACGAGTCGCAAGTTCGGCATTAGTCGCTCGACAATGACGCTTGACCCCACGAGCTTGGCTTGCGAATGAAACGAGTGTCGGAGCGTTGAAACGCTAAAAGAGAACTACCTGCTATCCCACTAATATACTCGACGAACCAATATACTCGGCGAGTATATAGTGGCCATTGTTTCTGACTGCGGTGCGTTGGAGGGGCGGAGACATACGTGCAAGGATGAGTGTATCCTTCGCGGGGGCTGAGTCTTTTACAGCTTGGAAATTTTTCGAGCAAGCGAGCTTATTTGGGACATCCAGTCAATTACCAATAAGGCATTATACTTTAAAAAAAAATAAAGAATAATCGATGAATGGTGTACAACCGATGTACGCGGACCACGACAGTCATAACGTACCGACCTCGCTGTGACTGGAGCAAGGATCACTACTCCTCAGTGAGATCGAAGGTTATCATAAAAATACCGGACGCTGCGACTCGATATAGGATCAAGGCATTTGAATATAAAAATAAGGAAAAGGAGGACGTAACGAGCGCGTGTTGCGAGTGTGTCGCCACGTGCGCATATTATAATTAATCAAACGAATTATTGTCGCGATCCAACCCTCTATAAACCGACATCAAGATCCTCGGAAAGCGGTTTCAACCGGTTATGTAAACGTCAGGGAATAAACTGTGGTAGCGGTTTCAACCGGTTACAACTTAAAGAAATGAATCGTCTGCATTGCCGTTCTAGAGAAGGAAGAGAATCACATGACACAAATCATTTTCGGTGCAACCTTGTTTATCGGACATTTTTAGATTTTCATGCTAAATGAAAAGTTTTCACCTGAGACGCCTGGCGCGCCTTTGACCAAACGCTAACATACAATGGTCTTCGAATAAACAAGAGAACATGTACCGTCAATATTTTTAACCCGTCTAACAGACTGTAACTTATCGCTTATTGATTTTTTTGGTAAAGAGTAATTTCATTGGAAAAGTGTATTTGTCGCAGTCTTTTTGCGAAATTAGCCCTTTTGCAAAAAAAGCTAACCTTTATGCAAAATGGCGGCTAGTCTGCTTTAACTTTTTTTGCAAAAAGGTTAGCCTTTTTTCAAAAGGCTGATTTCGCAAAAAGATTGCGACATATTTACCACGACTATCATATTCGCCACTATGCCTTGACCAATATTAGCGCGTTCTTCTAAATTCAAATGTAAATTATACAAGTTCTTCATATATTCAAGATTAACGAAGAACTTGTATATCTATTTTAGTAAGCAATTTTTATTTTTGAAAATTAAATAAAAATTTAAATTTTGAAAATTAATAACCGAAATACCCAAACTTGCATGATAATTTTACATATGTATAATTATTACTTAAAAATTATCATGTTCCAGCAAATAAGTTGACGTCATTTGTTATTATTATCATCTTTAACGTCATTTTAACGCCAAAATGATAACAAATAATATTGGTTTGTTTGTTAGGCTTTAGCAAGTTTGGGTGTTTTAGTTTTCACTTAAAAAAATTCAAAATTCAAATATCAAAATTGCTTATTAAAACAGATATATCGTGGTGAATATGTCGATACAAGTTCCTTGAATTTTAAATACTCGTACAAAAAAATTTACATTTGGATTTTAAATTTGTACACACAGACAAATATCATTCTACTGCTAAAAAAAGTAATTGACTAATTGCTTAATTTAACTTTCTTCCTTTTAATAACAGTTATCTTTAACAGAGAATATTTTCTTGATGATAATCTTAAAATATATTTATTAGAAATTTTAGAAAAAAACACATTATTATGTACTCAAAATAAGAATTAATTCTTTTTAAAGAATTCTTGTTATAAAATTGATCGAAGAAGCGAAGCTTCTTCTATTATATATAAGCAAATTGAATTTGTTTTAATTTATTAATCTTAATTAAACTTACTAGGATTTAGATTATATTTTAAATATCAATTTAATGTTTGTAATGAACTGATAATATAAATTTACTATATATTTGCGGATATTATATATTTGCGCAACTTTTAAAATTCTTGAAACAAGGAATTATCACTAGCATATAGTAGAGAAGATGGTATTATAACACCCTAGTTACATTTTACACAATAACTTTGTTAATAATCAATATTTAAGTTTAAAACTTGACATCTACATTCGTTAAAATGTAGTTGAATCTATTCTGAACTGAAAGTTACGAAATATTTATTACTTAGGATATTATTAATAAAAATGTGGCGACACTGCATAACGACTCGAAGAAAAAAATGGGTGATAATGTGACCTTCCACAAAAATAGCCTTAAAATATTAGTTTTGTTTAGAAAACAGTATTTGGTTACAAAATTAACAAAAAAGTAAAACATTTTAAAATGTATGCAAATAAATGTCTATACATTCACATAATTTCTGCATATAAACTGCTCAGTACTAAAAATACACGTAATATAAACTATAGATTAACAATAGAACTACAATCGATTATTAAATAATTATTTTGATATGAAAACCTCAAAAAGAGTTAGTAATCAATATCCGTAGAGAACCACATTAGCAAAATACCATGCTATTGTTTAAATTTGCATGACTCAAAATATATACAGTCAAATAAAATTAAATAGCAAATAACGCACTCAAAAATACATGTATTCGTGTGATGATACGCTCAAGTTTAAAAAAAATAAAGAAGTAGGTAATTAAACACTAAAATGTACCTCAGAAATGTTTCTAAATACTTGAAAGTAAAAATTCGTTATAATAAGTGCTGGCTATTGAGTATTGGTATATTAGCGCCATAGTGTAACGACGAGCTACTGAACAAATTATTCCATAAGTAATCATTAGGATTCGCTATATGTATAATAGCGGAGATATTAAGGAAGGCTACAATATATACACTGGCCATAATATCACCTTCTACTGGTCATAATATCTCCTCTATGTATTTTTCCGTGCATATACGGTTGTTATATAAAAGAAACTGTATTATAAGAAAATATATAATAAAAATTCTAGCACTAGGATCCTATCACGTACAATGTAGAGCGAATAATTATAAAGGTCCAAGTATTATTTAGTAGAATAACATTTTTTAATACAAAAAAAAGCTCGAGTTGTTTCGGAATCCTTGACTCCATTTTCCGCTGATGCATCATTTAAAAATGTAAAGTGTTTTAAGAGTGATAATGACGATTTAAAAACAATAACAATTTAAAAATAAAAATGATTTAAAAACAATATGAAAGACTTACCAAGTATGAGAGTTGTCAAGCTTTGTGAAGTGTTCGCCCGGATTGGGGAACTACCAAGGTGATATGAGAAATCACAAAGCTTATATAGGGCGCTAAGATACTTCGGGATCCCCCACCCTAGTCCCGGCAGAATACATTGCGGAATGATTTCTATCACGCGTAGTGTTATGTCGTGTCGCAAATAAGAGAAGAAAGGAGAATGTTGCTCACGAATTGTGGACTCGGACGGTCTGAATCTTTTATCCCGAGAAAACGGGGCGTTCGCATATTGCATCGGCAAACGTGAATCTTTGATAAGGTGGCATCATTCACAGATTTATCGTAGACGATAAAATTCGGTATAAATTATTTGCCATCCTGTATAACATCATTTTATCGTGCATTCATCCGGCTTCGTTTCGATGGAACGTGTGTTCCACCGTTCCACGTGTGTGAACGCTCGTGCGTGACAGCCCGTGTTAACGCCTAATTTCACGTTTCCACTCTTTCGTTCTGTTGCGCAATCTTTGCATCTCGCGAAGACATCCCGCGTTCATGCGTCTCCTCGCATCGTCACACGCATTGTGTGGGACACATGTGTCAATGGTCGCGTTCAGACTCAACTGTTGTGTGAGCGCTTGCTGCTATTGGTGTATTCTTTTAGATCATCCAATAGCAACGAGAACTCACTGATCCGCTTCCGCAATAATTGAATCTATTGAACGCGACAATAATAACGTAGTAACGTGAAGTATGTGTGTGTGTGTGTGTGTGTGTGTGTGTGTGTGTGTGTG